ATTTTTAAAATTCAAAATAGATTTTAGGCATGTCTTTATATACCACAAAAAACTTGTCTTTCTGGCCTCGTAGTTTCTGACCCTATCCATCATACATCAGCAAATATTGGTGTACAACGTATAACAACACCAGAAGTCAAATTTGGTGGCATGTCAAAAATAATTGAGGGAAAACCTAAGCAAAATAAATACAAAACATAAAGATAATTTTTTGCCCGTCCGCTTTTATCTACTTTATCTATATACCCCCTCTTTTTACTGCTGCCTTGCGTTTTCGTTAATGGAAATGACTGCTATAGCCGACTTGAGCTGAGTATCTGTGTATCTGGCAGATACAGTCATCACGGACAGCTGTCGTTTTCGCTAGTTTTCCTGAGTGGCGGACCCTTTAAGTGCCCACACCCAACCCCAGTTAGACCTTCTCCAGTTTTGAGTTATAACAAAACCATTTCATTTCTGACTTTGATTTCGATATTGAGACCGTCGCTCTTTCGATCGCCAGGCCAAGATCCCTTAAACCCATGAAATATTCACTCCAGAGCCATGACTATATTCATGAAGTTGCAGAGGGTCGGTGTGTCGTTGGCTCATTTAACCATTCCGTAACCAAAACCGAACCCAAATCCGAATCTGAATTTTAGCCGTTTCTCTGTTTTCGATATTTCGTTGTCTGTGCACTTTGAGCCTACGTGATGTCTTGCATGGAAATTTCATTTACATTTCTCGTTCGTCTCTTTGTGTTTGCTTCTCGTCTTTTCTTTACATGTCAAACGAACAGCCAAATATATTTTCGTTCGGGCCAAAAATAAAAACTAAATCACCCAACAACCGAAATCATTGGAAATGATTCAAGATTTATTTTAATTTGTAAAGTTGTTTCACATTGTTTTTAAAATAAATTAAAGTCATTGCTAGGAAAGGATCATAGAAACCCGAAGTAAATTGTGGGTTAAATACCAAGGGTTTGAACCTCGATTTTGCGTAAATCACAAAAAAAAATTGTATACCTCCACTGATGAGATGATCAATTATGTAGGTTTTATAGAATATTATATAATATACTTTGTTTTATATCAGTAAGTTAACCAACATACATAAATGAATTTAAATTCGAGAAAAATGCAGGAACCTCTTTCATTTAGTTTAGCGAGGAAAAAAATCAATGTAATTGTTGTTGGCTTGCTTTACATATGAAGGCGTGAGCATCCCTGCTGTAGAATAAATATTATATACTTAAGGTAAAATAAGAAACATTAAATATTTGAATTCAATTGTGATGATCTAAAATTTAAAAAAAAAATTTCAAATGCACCATGAGTATCCAAGCTGAGAAAAACATGAAAAATGCATTTTCAATTGAACTTCGCTTGACGGCAGAAACAACGTAGAACGTGTCAGAAAGGGATTGATTGACATGGTGAGCTTTGCCCTCTCGTTCCGCCATATCCCCATCTCGCTCTACCCTCTACCCTTCTCTGTCGCCCTCAGGGCTTCTTGTGCGTGGGCTTGGTAGAATGTCTTTGAAGAAACCTTTGCTGCTTTTGGCTTTATTTTCTGTGTCGCAAAAGGGAACACACACAGACGCCATTAACGTATCACATAACCAAGTAGCTTAAGAAGCAAGGAGTGGGAGGGGGAAGGGGCAGAAGAAAGGCGGCCCAAAAGAAAGGAGGGCGGAGAATAGGGAGCCGTCTGAGTTTTAATGAGAGATGCACGCGTGTACCAATTTCCCTTTGGGAATTCATTTTGGACACGTTCGACATGTGGAACCTGTTTGGGAACCCAGACTGAGGAACCTGTTCGGAGGTTGGATTCTCCAATCAAAATCCAGATAACTTTAGGAGTCGGGTGCTTCTGGTTTTCCATATATTGTTATTTTGTTATTACCCCGAATGTACCTAAATATCATTTTCTATCTCTATCGCACTTAGGCTGCCATCTCTAGTGTATAGAATAGCGGTATCAGGCTGCAGGCAGCGCAGCAGCAGCAGAGAAAAGGAGACAAAGTGAAAGATTCTTGTTATTAAAGATGCCCAAAAGAAGAAGCAGAACAAATGAGAACAGTAGCCAAACGAAGAGTAAATACCCTACTGTTTTTAATACCCTTCTAAGATTGTGAAAATATTTAATAAAAATAAAAAGTGAGAAAAATTAACTGGGAGTTGCAGAAATCTCAAAAGATAATGCTCACAAAATTTCTCGTCAGTGATACACATTTCTTTTTAACATCTAGGTTTTTTTTATCAACTCACTTTTAATTTATTTACAGAGTATGTAATGAAACAGTCGTTTTCTTAATACTGGGGCCATCTGTATCGTATATATAAAACTGTCGTAGTAGATTTGTAACATCCTTTTGGAGAAAACACATATACCCCTAACTTTCAAAGGCAGGAGAGCAAAGGAGAGCAGCGAGGCGCACCGGTTATGGGCAAGTGTTGGTGTGTGTATCTGTGTGAGCCGGGTGAAATTGCGAATAAAAAGAACGCCTACACAGGCAGACGGAGAAAGGGGAGAGAGCCGGTTGGGGACTGGGATGGGTGCACAGCTGCCTAAGCTCCTTTCACCCACTCAACGTGATCCCCAGGAGAAAAAGAGACTGAGGAAATCTTCTGCGGGGTTAGGGCTCACAGTCAGCTCAAATTATTAGCAACCGGCGGAGATTTATGGGCGAAAGTACACCGTGTACGTATGGCAACAATGAATTGGCAACAAAGTAAGCGGAAATTTTTTGATGCTGCTCTGATCGACGGAACGACAGACCAAACAAAAGTAGAGAGATGCGGGAAAACCGCAGAGGAAGTCGAGAATGCTGAGCGAGAAGTTAATTAGGGCAGAATGAAAAGACACGAGGTGAGATATGCAGGCTGGGAGAAGAAAGCTGAACTCAATATCACGGAGATTTTCACCTACTTTAAAAGCAAGATATGCCCACATTAAAAATGTTCTATACCTAGTTTCAAAATGAAATCATATCGATTTTAATTACTTTAGTTTTTATTTACTGTTTAAAGTTAGTTAACTAAGCTCTCTTAGCCCCCATTGATCCAAGTCTCCGTCTGAAATTAATTTCAAACTTTTCCAGCCAAAAACAACGAGTCGATAAGATTGTGGAAATAAATAGCAAGTCAATAATAACAGCCGGAAAATCCAGCGCAATTCACAAAATCAAGGAGTTGATATCAACAAACCCAACAATTTGGCTTTATGTACACAATTATATATGTACTATATATGTATGTATGTATATCTCAAATATCTTTGAGCAGTTTTCGGACAAACAAACCAAAAAAAAAAAGGAACCTTATCAAAAACCATTTAAAATAAAATGTGAAAAATATATCATATATAAAATTTTTATCTCGATTAGTGGCATGCCAAAAAAAACCAAATAAACAATTCGCAGAAGGAAAAAGCAAAAAATAAGGGGGCAAAATTACCGAAAAAGAAAATAATACAAAATATTCCAGCCACAGTCTGTTGACGACAACGAGCGGCGAATGAGAAGCGCAAACAGCAAGAGAAATATTTTTATAAGTCGCAGTAAGCGAAAAATAAATAAACCGAAAGAAATACAGAAAATACAGTCAAATAAAGAGGCGGCGGAGTAGCTCAAACGCGAAAACTTAGATTGGGAGACAATTGGGGTGGTAATTGCGTCCGCTGGAATTTTCAATGAGCTGGGGAAATACGGAGAGACCTTGTGAGATATCAAACAATAACTCATACTGGTCACAAAGGCCCAGAGAAAATGCGGGTAAAGTAAGGCAGAAAAAGTCGGGGCCAATGGAAACATTAACACAAATTTTAGAGGGATTTCGGGAGGGGATTTCTTCAAACGCCAAGTCAGACGTGTTCGAGCCTGCAAACGTAATCGGAGATAGCGTGAAAGAGTATATAAAAAACGATACAGAACAAAGTATGGGAATGTCCACAAACTCACAACATACAGAATAACAGAAAGAGAAACGGCGACAAACCATGTGAAATGCGGCTTCCTCTCGCTCTCGCCCAAAAAAAAGTTGCCATGGCGTCTATTGTGATAATCAACAATGAAAAAAAAGGAAGAAGATGGGGGGAACTAGGCGATAAGAGTCCCCAGAAGAAGCAGAAATATGGCACGGCAACCAATAATAATAAATATTGCGCCTAGTATTAATAACAACGGTTTATTTGCCCAGAGCGCGTGTGTGATAACGATAACTCAAGCAAATCAAGCGATTGTCACTATAATCGATGGGTGCTATCACAACGGTTGGGTGCAATCAAGCGGATGAAATTGAAACTGCAAACAAATAACCCATGATTCATCCTTATAAGTCCAGAAAATATATAAAGCTAAGCAAAGCCAGAAAGAGTCGATAAGTCATTTTAAATCGATTGGCAATAACCGATATATGTATCTTTCATTAATTTCTTCCTTATTTTCAATTTCACTAAAAGAAAACATTTAACAAAATTATTAACTCAACTAAAGTTTTCGAGCAATAAGAAATTCACTAAAAACCTCAATGAACAGAAACTAAATTAATTGATCTAATTTGATTGCTTGTTGCTGTTAGTCAAGCTAATTTAAACGTTTCTCTATATAAAGCAGGAAGGTCATCATGAATATTCTAATCAACTTTTTGCTTGGGACACGGAAATCAGAAATTAATCAGTACTGAGTTCTTTTTCACTCATTCGCAAAAAACCCTTTAAACGTTTGTGTTTTGGTAGTCTGTGTATTTTAAAGTACACTTTTTAAAACAGTTTATCTTTTGAAAACAGTAACACAGCACAAATATTGAAAACCTTTAAAAGTTAGTACCCAATCTTTCCAAGTTCCTATTAGGATTGTCATATATTTAAAAACATGTAATCTGTTGTTACTTTTCTCTTGCTCGATCCCCAATTATACAATTAAAAAACTGAAAATCTATCACAACTTACTACCTGTTTTTTATAATATGCTACTGGAATAACTTATTAATTATTAACTAAATCTATGCAAAACTCACCTGTCTGACGTTTTCGCTTGCTGTTAGCTGCCGACAAAGTCGATGTTGCAGGTTGCCGCTGGTGTTGCTGATGTTGTTGCTGTTGCTCCTGCTGGTGACGCGTCCCGTCCACAGTTGCCGTCACCGTTAGATCGCCGTAGAAGGACGTCGCCTTGGCTGATAGTCCCGCTCCAAATCCCGGATAGAATCCGGATCCCCCGCCCCCGGCAACGGCGTAGTCAACGAAATCGGACGTTTTTGGATGGTGAGACGTTTTCATTGGCGCATGCTGTCCCAGTCTGTCGTATTCGGCTTTCTCCCTCTTACTCAGTTGGATGGCATTTGGGCTCCTTCTTCCAGTTTTTTCTGCCTTCTTACAAACTATGTTTGTACAAAACGTGGCAAAAATTACTACTGATTTTTCAAGTGACCTCTTTGAAATTTTAAATTTAATTCCAATATTTTAAGACTTTTTTTGTGAGTAAAATTTTATACGAAGAAGATATATTTACAGTAATATATTGTTTCAAGACAAATACAATTATTCCAAATTAAAAGAGAATCTGAAAGTAAAGAGTAAGAGTAAGGTAAGCGATTAGTATGGAAATAAATAGCATTCGAATAAAATTCGCCACAAATCACGTACAAAAATAACATACAAACACTCGCACACCTGCTCCACATTTATATATTTTTATTTTAATTAGTTTTTGTAAAATTCCACTCAAATATGCTGCCCAAGAAACACAAACAAATTGTACTATTAATATAAACAGGGAAGGCCAGTTGAAAAGAATTTCGAATAAACTGAACTAATAATTTTTGATAGAGTTTTGTCTTGATATTATTATGTTATATATCATACAATAAATAAATCATAATTGTAGTAATTTATTTATTTAAAAAACACTCATTTTCTTTTTCTAGAGTTGACTGTAGTTGTTATGATTTCTCCACTTGATTCAGCATTTAAACTACGCAAAAAACGGTGTGAAAAAGAGGAAACTATAAAAAAAGGCAACCAAATGTTGGTGCCGAAAAATGAGAACCACAAAAGAGCGAAATAAACAAACAACAATAAAAAGCATTTTGGAGATTACGCACTTGGCACTGGTACACAAACAACACTTACACTCCCACACTTCTGGCCCACACGGATACACACAGACAAACCCTTTTCTACGCACTTTGCTAAAAATTCTACGAAGCCCTCGAAATTAAACCTAATTGGCAACTTTCGTTACCAAACCCAAAAAAATAAACACAAAAAAGAACGAAAATATAAAAATTACCATTAACAACAACAACGAATTAAAGCAAACAAAAAGCCGGTTCCAAAGTTATTAATGGATTGGGCAGTGAGTGGAAAAGGGACAGGAAGTGTTATTGAATGGATTTTTGTTTTGCAGCTGCTGCGTATAAAAAATGCAGAGTAAATGGATCCTGAAGATACACAGTAAATATTTTTTTATATCTTCAATTCAAACTATACCAATAAGAAAGTATATAAACTATGATTGTAGGTAAGGTATTTTCTAGAAAACTTTTATTAATTTACATTTTTAACATCTACCAAAATGTTGAGTAAAAAATCGTTTATAAGAAACTATATCTGCAAACCACAGAAAACAGTAAAAGTTAAACATTTAGCTATTCACATTGTGAATCCAATAAGACAGCGAAAGTTCAACAATTAGCCATAATAAATAAATTCGTTCGGCGCAAGTGGAGACGATAAAAATCAATAAAATCTTTAAGATTTTGACTATCTTGAATTATAATACCCTATAAACACTGACTAACTAACTAACTAATATGACTATGACTATTTAGTTATCAACGTCGACGTCGGCAGCGACGCCCGGCGCAGACGTCAACAACAAAGAAGAAGAAGAAGAGGGCGAAATACGAAACCGGGCATAAAAACAAGTTCCCCAGCTTCTTGTTGTTGCTGTTGTTGGTATTGTCCATCATCATCATCTCATTTTGGGTGTAACCAAAATTAATATTTATGTTTGTTGATTTGTTTGCAGGAAAATTGCAAAACATAAAAGGTTTTCTTTCGTAATATTTCACCGCACCAGCACACACACCAATACACGTTCACAAACACCTGCCAGCGAGTCTGGTGTGTTTATTTATGCATTTTAATTTGTTTTGCACCTTTTTTCGCAGCAGCTTCCACACACACGCACACATATGCCTGTGCACATATATATCTTGGTACTTCCTCAACAGCTTTGTAGCTGTATCTCTTCTATGGCTACAACGTCCGCTCGCGAAGCCGTTTGTGGAGACTCTGAATCGAAGAATTGAGGCACTTTGGGACTGGAGGCACCGAAACTTTGTTGCCACAGAGCCCGAAAAAAGAGAGCGGCGGACCTCTCGCTCTTTCTCGGATTCTCCGGGCGCCTGCGCAAGCCCCCGTCTCTTTCTCTCGCTTCCTGACGCCCCTTTCTCCCCCCGCCTCCTTTTCTCCTCGCTCAATCTGCGACTTTTTTTTAAGCTCTGCCCGGGGGACAAATCGCGAAATTATTTTTGCTTTCTTTTGCAGTGGTTGTTGTTTTGGTTTTTCCTTCATTTGCTACCGTGTTATATCCTGGCGTTTCATTTGGGCTTAAGCTCTAAAAATTGGCAATATTATTTAATATAAAGATGAAAGCACACCCTTTATATGTATACCGCTAAAGTAAATAAATACATATCATCAACCCATTAATTCCTATGAGGATATATGGTACAGTTTAGACCCCAATAAAACTATTTGTATTTTTTTCATATTTCATTTGGACTTCAATAGCTTGTGGTTATACTTTAGACCTTAGCTTCAAAATTTAACAATATCCTAGCACGGTCTTTTCTCGCCTCTACATAAATCAACGCCCCTTTAATTATTTTCAGCTTTTTTATTATTTCCCTAAGTATTCCCAAAGCTAGTCAAAAAATGTTTTATACTAAATTGTTATGACTTAACATATGTACTTCCCACGTTCTAATATTTTTTTACTTAACCCATTATATTTAGAGTCAGTAAATTATATTAAATTTGTGTTAAGATATGAGGGGTATAGCTTGGTCGGTGCGCTCGTTTATAGCTTGATTGCTTACGTGGATGTCCCACCTCGGGCGCCACCCAAAAGTGTGAGGGGCTCCATTTGACACGTAAGGATTTGCGTCGGCAGCAAAAACCAAAAGAAAGGGAAGGAGAGCCCCAAAGGGAGGCCAAGAACCGGCAAAGGGGCACCTTGTGAAATAGTTTTTTTTTGCGGTGGGTCGAGAAAAGGGGTTGCCTCTGATGTGCGAATGGGGCAAAGTGGTTTCATTGGGCGGCCGCCGGGTAAAATGAGACGCAGTAGCAAAACTTGCGTCTTGGGCAGACTTAATTACACACATATAGAACAAGACCATCTCCACGGTTGTGTGGGTGAAACATATTTTTAGCTTAGCCAAGAAACCGTTATAGTTTTACGGGAGAAAGGGTTACAAGGTGGCTAGAGGAAAACTTTGGTTTCCCCGTAAAGGATCAAAAGGAAACATATGGTTTCCAGCATGCACAACAGAATAATTTGATCAAACTTTGGTTGGAAAATATTGAAAGGGTGAAAAGTGAAGAATTCGTTGAAAACCACGCGCCATAATCAAGGTAATGCTGACAAGTTTCTGATTAAATTGTCGGCATTCTTGTGAAAATAAACCAGAGGTTCCATTTTGTATAATTGGTATTTAAATAATGGTCTCGTGTGGCTAATTAAGATATTATGTACTGGAGGGTTAACAAAAAAATCTCAAATATTCCAAATGGATTTCTGGATTTTGTTTGGCTCTGCAGGATGCGAGTTTTACGAGTCTGTGTCCCCGGGGGTTCCCCCACAGAAGACTCGAGAAGAAGGCTAAACGGGTTTTAGTGGCGACGTCAGCAGTCTTCTGGGCTGTCCTCGCCACAATTCAATCAGCAATATGGTCGGTTGGCAGCCTGGGCATCAATTACAGGCCAATAAAGCTACAAACCCCCCGGTTCTCCACTTTCCCCGCACGTAATCTCATTTGGAAAACTTTCCAACAGCTGTTGGAGGTGGAGAATCGTGGGAGGGACACCTAACATATGGAAGCTTCGAGTTTTTCTTTTTTCCTTGTAAGCTCTAATTGACAGCTGCCGAAGTGGGCGAAGGGAAAGTGGGGGCGGGGCTAAGCCGGGAAAACCCACAAGCGGGTGACCCAACACCCACCACCCACACCCTACTCACGCCTCGTTAAAGTTGTGCAACAATTTCCCTTTAAATGATTTACATAAAAATAAAACCCATGAGGAAAAAGAAAGAGAGTGAGAACTCTCTCTGTCTCTCTCTTTCGGTATCCTGTGCATGAATGAGCACGCTCTCACATGCTGCTGCGACAGAAAGAGGAAAGGAGAGAGAGAGAGAGAGAGCAGCCGGCGGCGGTTTCTTTGATGAATCGACAAACGCCGTTCAGTTTGATGATTATGATGACGCAGCGTCACAGGAGGATAAATGAGAGGGATAAAAGAGCGAAAAAAGAGGAACAACGAAAACAAGGAGTGATTTCCATTTCCGCTCGCCAGTTGTTGTTCTTCTTTTGTTTTGATTAATGCCAAAGTAAAAGAGTTGGCAATAAATCCCAAACAATAAAAATTACCCAAGGCAAAAAAAAGTCCCAAATGTGGGAGAATTCCCAAACCTTAGATGGACTTATTTTTTTGCAGAACATTCCGACTGAATAAACGCAGGTAGTATCCTTGTTTTCTATATTAAATGCTCACATGAAAATGTATAACGGTTTTTGAATTATTGAATTTAATAGAAATTGTGATATCTTAACTTTTAGCAAACTTTAAATATGGACAAGAGTATTTATAATTATGTATGTGAATTAAACAAAATTCGTCTTGCTTAAAAAGACAAATTGAGCAAATATCCTTAACAGTCCATGATTTTTTGTAAGATGTTAAAGTTTATTTTAACAAAGAGTCTGTTAATCAATTTATTTAATTTTATTCACCAGAATATGTTTTTTTTTAATTTTATGTTTTAGATTTCAATAGACTTTTAGCTTATTAAAAAGATTTTTTATATATAAATAATTAAATATTATGTTTTGGTTACTTAATATATTTAAATATTTCAGAGAAGTAAAAATATCACAAACTTAAAAAAATTCCAATAGTTAATTTTTTCTAATAATAGATGTATTTTGATAAAATTTTAATTCTAAACTTAACGAAACTAATTGGTTTTTATTTTGGATTGTTATTTTTAATATTCCAGGGACTCTTTGGCTAGGGAATTTCCTTAATTGAACACTGGAAAGGGAGAGGGGAAGAGAACAAGTCCCGCACCCGCATGTAACGAAAACAGTGGTAAAATCGACTCTTCCCATATGGAAACCGCCCCCAACAGAGAAATAATAAAATTATACACAGGGTACCCTGTAAATAAATTGTTGCTAACATAAGCAAGTACAGCAACAATTCCATGGCGAAACGAAAACAAGTTAAAAATGCAATTGAATATTGTTTCTCTTTTTTTTTTTTTGCCTCACTCGCTCTCTCTTCTGTGCGCTATTTTGAGTTCATCGTTTTCAATTCATTTTCGCTCTGCTTCTCTCTCAGCAAACACAACACAGCACAGCAAACAAAAAAAACACGCTCTCTCTCACACACACACTACAGGCTTGAATACTCGGGGAAATTAGTTTTCATATTTCGCTTACTTTTTGCTTCATTTACGATTATGTTTAAAGTGTTGTGGAAATTTGATTATAAAAAAACACTCGCCATGGTTCCCTTTCTTTCTTTTCGCGTTTTTTCACTCACGCACAGGCAGACACAGGATTTATTGTATTTTTTTCTCGCGAGCCCGACGGATTTTGCGTTGTGCTGCGTCCGCGTTTTTTTACGTCTCGTCGAATTTTGAGGTAGAGATGGGAGAAACGACGATGGCAACATCGATGCTGATATCGATGTATCGATGTTTTTGTCAATATATTTATAACAGTATGTAATCGCTAACTTTTTGGATTATGTATTCGCTAAATATTGATCATTTTAAAATAAATGGTCACTCCAAAAAGTATCGCTCCAGTTATTGCTGACTATGTCTCTGCTGAAATCAAATTTTTAATAAGACAAGATGGAAAAACTTAGCTATTAAAAAATATAATACTCTTTCAAACGCCAAACAAAAATTTATTTGTAGTATTTTAAGAACATAAAGCTTTTTTTTAACAAAAATTAAATTAAAACCAAAAAAGTATCGCAGTTGTATATGAAGTATCGATGATTGGTACCACGAAAAGTCAGCTGTAGAGGTAGGAAACTTATCTATTTTGGGGTTACCAGGTAAAATCGGTCACACACTCGCAACTTGTAAACAAATCCTTAATTGTCCCCGTAAATTCGTGAATTTGGCAAACTATAATTGAAAATGCTGTCCCTAACCGATCCTGGCAACTCCGTGGGCATTCCCGACAAGGCCTGGCAGCCGCATTTCGTGACTCTGGAAACTAGGTGGGTTATGCGAAACAAAATTGTTGATCTCAAATCGGCGACATTTAAAGTACAGTGCACGCTCGATGCAGTAGACGTATTACTACAGTAATGTCATACTGAATACATCAATATAACAATAAAAAAATACTATTTAATGTTGTTAATTTTTTTTTGCTAGGAAATAATGTCAAAATATGTATCTTACCTTTTCAATAGTACTTCAAAAATATTTTTGTGACAGGGCCCGCCCGATACAGTTGATTAATATGTTATAATTGATATTATAATGTTTAGAACATTCCGTTTTAATCTTGACTGCTAGTTATATTTAGCTAAAACTAGAAAACATTTAGATTCCCTTCCAAGACTTTTTCATTATATATGTACTTATTTTAAAATATTTTTTTATCCAACAGCATGGGTGAAATCACCGTGGAGCTGTACTGGAAACATGCCCCCAACACGTGCCGCAATTTCGCCGAGCTCTCGAGGAGGGGCTACTACAACAATGTGGTGTTCCACCGCATAATCAGGGACTTCATGATCCAGGGCGGCGATCCCACGGGAACGGGACGCGGCGGCACCTCCATTTACGGATCGGAATTCGGGGACGAGCTGCACGGCGATCTGAAGCACACGGGCGCGGGCATCCTCTCGATGGCCAATTCAGGACCCGACACCAATGGATCCCAGTTCTTCATCACCTTGGCGCCCACGCAATGGCTGGATGGCAAGCACACGATCTTCGGAAGGGTCTACACCGGCATGGAAGTGGTCAAGCGGATTGGAATGGTGGAAACCGACAAGAACGATCGTCCTGTGGATCCCCTAAGGATAATTAAGGCCAAGGTGGAGAAGCTATAGGAATGCATGTCAAGAAGTACGATTATACTAAGCGAAAGGTGTATGTTTAAATATATAAACAATATTTACAAATTTTAAGAAACTCTTAATATTGAAATTACACGAATTTTAAAAGCTGTGAGGATGATCCTGATTTTAAACTACTTTACTTAAAATCTTTTGAATGAGAAAGCCCACTGCAAAGTACATTTGACAAGTGAAAATATTTTTATAAATCTGCAGAGGGTATTTACATTTTTAGCTAAAAGTTAAAGATTTAATTTTATCGTTTTATAAAATATTTCCTGTTTGTAAGAGCTTGTTAAAGCTACCTTCCTTTGTTGTTAAAATTGTAGGAGTCCTCAATTTGTTGTTTAAATGTTTAAATGTATTTACGGAATGACTAGAAACACAAGATCTTTTTGATTGCACAGATCACAGGATGGCAGAGGAACCTCTCATCTACATGGTGCTGTCCAACATGTCCACCAGCCGCTTGATCTCCCTGCTGTGGAAGGTAACGAACATAAGATTTCGAAAGTCTGGCAAAGATTAAAAACACACTAACATGCGCTGGCCCAGCTGCTCGGTGGGCTTCATCGACTTGGTGATCTCCTCCGCTTTGGCCAGCAGTTGGTACTGGCACTTGATGTTGGCATCCAGCGTGTCCGTGAGCTTGTTGACGGCATTCCGATGGACCTCCACGTTGTCGGCGGTTATGGAGGAGATGGAGTGCAGCAGGTTGCCCAGATTCTCCAGCAGATTGTCCACCGAGGTGGCCAGATACTGGGCCTCCAGTTCAATGTCGCTCAGTACGCTGCCATCCACTTCGGGCACATTGCGGGATTGCAAGAATCTCCGGGTGAGCAGGCCGTTACCGGATGAACCCAGGCCCGTTCCCAGGCCCACTGGTGCTCCCGGACCCATGGAAGTGGAGGGCGTTGTGTGCTCCGAGGAGTAGTCCGTGGAGGCGGCCACTCCCTCCCGCAATTTGGCCTCCAAATCGTGGGCCACAAAGTGACGCATGCCATCCGAGTCACTGGCTCCCTCCAGTTCATAGGGCAGATCTGCAAAAGGAGGGTAATCTTGTCAAGAATTTCGGGGCTACTTTGAGGCATCCGATCCTACTGCTGCTGTCCGCCTTCAGTCTATGCCTTTGCAGGTCCCCCGAGTGACTGTCCCTGGAGTTGCTGTTCGAGTTGCTCTGGTCCTCCTCCTCGGGGTCATCCTCCTCGGCACCGTCGTCATCCTCGCCAGAGTCCAGGTTCACATAGCTCTCGCCGTTTGGTCCCTGTTTGCCCGAGTTTCCCGGCATCATTCTGGGATTACCCGCCGCCGTGGGCGTGAGATCCTGCAGGATGTGGTCCGGCACTTCGCCAGGATACTGGGCCAGAAATGGGATCTCCGTGTACGAGGTGGGCGTGGCTCCGGATCTTCCATTGCCCTCTGTCTGGCCGCTCTGGTCGTCCACGTACCCATAACGCGGACGGATGGGAATGTCCTGGTGGCGGTGTGACATTTGTAACAATTCCCGGATTTGAAGAATCCAAAAAAAATCTAAGAAATTTCGGAGCACCAACAGTATGGGGTAAACAAAAACAAACCAATGTATAAAATACTCTTTAAATGTCATCCCGATTTACTGTGCCAAAAAATATACCAGATGTCGATATCGATAACAAAGGGATTTAAGGCGTAATACAAATGGGCACACCGAAAACTTTTTGAATTAAGCGCCCTTTCGATACTTAAATAATTATTAATTACTTATCATTATCATTTCATTTAAAAAATAAAGTATCCAATCATTATATAGAAACATGCATTTTAAATGACGGTTTAAATATCAGTCAAAATTAGGTACCTAATGTCATTTTATTTTTATTTGGAAACGTTATAATATTTTGTTGGGAAACATGCGTTTTAGACTCTGCTCATTAGATTAAAGTAAACAAAAATTGTTCTAACTGACATAACGTGTGGTATAAGTAATTTTTGCGAAAGCTTTGAGACCATTTTAATATGGAATAATTTTATTGCACCCCAAAATTTACTTCACAAAAGTAAGAGAATAGAGGTCGTATCGCAATCCATCAATAATTTTCTCGAAGCGCAGTAAGCACTGTTTAGCCAGTCGGCTAAATTCCAAAATATTGTTTGGACGATCCCATACAGACTACAGTTATTTACTCCGCTAACCCGAAACTCCGCTAACCTAAAAGGTTGACCCGAAGAAAAAGCTAAACACAACTGCAACGCAACTGAGGTCGAGTGTTGGGCTAGTATACCAGAGTGAGTATCTGGCGCACGCCGACGAACTCGATGGCTTACTCGTTCCTTAAGTTCATCATGGGCCAGACGTTGTCGGAACCGGTGACCACCAAGGATTCGGCCTGTTGCGCAAATGCCGCGTATCGCGTGGGCTCCAGTTGCATGCAGGGATGGCGCGTGGAGATGGAGGATGCCCACACCCATATCCTGTCACTGCCGGAGGATCCTCAGGCGGCCTTCTTTGCCGTGTACGATGGACATGGTGGAGCGGCGGTGGCCAAGTTTGCGGGCAAACATCTGCACAAGTTCGTGACGAAGAGGCCGGAGTACAGGGACAATGGCGTGGAGGTGGCCCTGAAGAGGGCCTTTCTAGACTTTGACCGCGAGATGCTGCACAATGGATCGGTTGGGGAGCAGAGTGCGGGCTCTACGGCAGTGGTGGTGCTCATAAGGGAGCGGCGCCTGTACTGCGCCAATGCGGGCGATTCGCGGGCCATAGCCTGCGTTTCCGGAATGGTCCAGGCTCTGTCCATTGACCATAAGCCCAATGACGAGGCGGAGACCAAGCGCATCTTGGCAGGCGGCGGTTGGGTGGAGTTCAATCGGGTCAACGGCAATCTGGCTCTGTCGCGAGCCCTCGGTGACTTTGTCTACAAGAAGAACTTGCTGAAGAGCCCCGAGGAACAGATCGTGACGGCCAATCCGGATGTGGAGATCCGGGACATCACCGAGGACTGGGAGTTCGTCCTCCTCGCCTGCGATGGCATCTGGGATGTGATGACCAGCTCGGAGGTCTGTCAGTTTGTCCGCCGGCGCATTTGCGAGGGCCAGGAGCCGCAGGGCATTTGCGAGGACCTGATGAGCCGCTGCCTGGCGCCGGATGGCCATGCCAGTGGTGTGGGTGGCGACAATATGACCGTAATTCTGGTCTGCCTTCTCCACAACAAGAGCTACGAGGATCTGGTGGTGCGTTGCGGTGGCAAGCGCAAAACCGCCGTGGAATCTGTGGGCGACATCAAGGAGGAGCCAGGCGTCGTCAAGGTGGTCTCTCCATGCTCTCAGGGATCTGCGAGCACCTCGGCCTCGCGATTGGGCATGGGCTTTGGTCTACGCGATTCGCCAAGGAAGAACCCCAACTCCTAACTGAACAGATTACTTTTTGTTTTTACCTGTTTCACGTTTTGCGTTTTCACGTTTATACTCTCACATTTGGCACATTAAAACCGGGCTCTCCAAATTTACAGTCTCTCGAATCTTTTTTCCTCCGCTAAAACTTAATAAATTGTTTCAATACTGCTGGCAGCAAACTTTTTATAAATGGTTCAATGAAAACTATGTTTGGTGACCCCGATTTGTTGGTTTTAATTCGCAGAATTGTTACCGCCTTAACAACTTAAACTAAATAAGTTGCTTAAATACTTCTGACCGCAATACTTTACATTTCACTTTTAAAGTGTTTAACTAAAGCATTAGTTGAGATAAGGTTGGTGACCCCGATTTGTAAAAATCAATTCGTTAAAAGGTTACCCAAAGGTAAACTTTAGAGATAAATTGTTTAATAAATTCAAATCAATTCTTTTTTGTTTGTTTTCTTTGATGTAAGGATTTAAAATTTTAAAATGTATAGTTAACATTTCATTTTCCAAAGAAAAAACATTTCCGTTTTTATTTTTGCGGGGATCAGTGGATCTCTCTTTTAATTCGAATTAATGTGCAAATCTATAATACAGTTTAGAGCTACGTATACGTGTATATATATATAAGTATAACTTTTGGTGTATATGGTAAGTAAGAGTATATAAAGGTAATATGCATCTAAATAGATATATCTTTGGTGCGATTAGCTGTAGGTCGAATCGGAGTTAATCGAATCGAGTCGAGTTGGGCTGAGTATGCGAAATGCAGTGGGTGTCTCTCGAAAACTAAATGGTTAGATGACTTCAAAATAATAAGCGATCTCTCCGAAACGTTGTAATAAAATACACAGATGTGGTAGAGGCTAATTAGTGTTACGGTTATGTCAATTATTGCACCACATGCGGCCGTAAAGTGCTTAAAATAACGCCACGCACACAGCATGGAGGAGATTGGGGGATCGGGGAACCCCCATATCACCTCCATTCGTCAGATGTGCGCGCTGAATTTAAAGATAAAGACTAGAAATTCTCTCGTTTTGGACCGACTTCCGTGCCGGAAGCAGGAAGCCGATCAATGCCTTAATGCGAAGTGATTAATGGGGTTAGTAAGTGTGTGAAATATCTTTGGATATCTTTCCTAGTTGATTGTAAAATCATAATGCTAGGTGAGTATGTGTTTGTAAAGTTTGTAGCTTTGCTGCGGTGTTCTTCGATCGATTTGGATTTGGGATGCTATAACTCTCGTCCGTATGTGCTATAAAAAAATACTGGTTACATTTGGTTTTTTGTCGCTGTTCTTGGCAAGTCTCTAAGAAGTCTCTTATTACAACTAAGTGAAGATCAAATGGGGACCGATCGGCGATCGATCGATCGATCCAACCTTGTCTCTCTAAATATCTACGGTGTATAACCTCGTCATCCTCCTTGGAGTTACTTCCCTTCGATAAGCTTTACGTCTGGAATCGTCTACTCTCTAATGGTACTTAAGCTCTTTTGCATTTTTATCACATATTCGTTGACTACTGTAAGAAAGTGGGTGCTTTAGTTGGATGTGGTGTAAGTGGGTACTCGAATTGCTTTGGGTAGTGCTCTTGTTCTCTCCGCTGTCTTTTGCTTGATGTCCGGGTCCCATTTCGGGGTATCCTTGTCCTATGCCACCATGGCATAGTTCCCGGTCAGCTCGAAAGGACTCGTCTTGGCCGAGTGTGTGAAGTTGTTCTTGGGCGAAAAGTCCACGGGCTGTTCCTGCGTGCTGGCATTGCTGAGTGTTCCCTGAGTGGGCGTGGTCTGGCCCGGAAAGTGGGAGTAGGGCAGGGCCAAGGGCAAGGCCATTGGCAGGTGGGGATTGGGATGCAGCTCCTGGTAGAGACTGGGTATCCTATGTGGCAGCACCGTGGGCTGGATCACATTGATCCGCTTGAACTTTTCGTATTCCTCCAAAGCGGAAGCAGAGTGATTGTAGGCGATCATCTCTGGGCCACCTGGACAGCCCTGGATGGCCAAGGCCGCCTGTCGGCGCTCCTTCTCCTTCTGCAGCAGCTTGTTGGCCAGTGTGGATTTGGCCGAATCGGGCGCGGTACACTGAAAAAAAAAACAGAAAGGGAACGATTAGCTTTAGTGAGCGGAATACCCTATCTTATTTTGGGGTTTGAGTTTTCATGGGCTAAAGAACTCGCTGCTTGGGTTCCCGTAGGTTAAGCTTCCTTGTTCTAAAGAATTCGCGTTTTAGATTATTTTAGAATATAGGATTAGAGATCTAAGATAAGTGTTAGTTTAGTGTTCATTATTTTGGGGATAAAGATCTAAGGAAATTACTCTTTAAGTGTTAATTTCTTTAGTGCTCATTATTATGCTTTGAGTTCCCTTATGCTGAAGAATTCGCGTTCTAAGATTCTTTAAGAATTAAGGACGAATGATTTGTAAGTATTAGGTAGATAAAACTACTTACCACTGGGGTAGGAGATCCGGGAGACAAGCCCACCTCTGTTTGCTGTCGCTTGGGCGATGTGGGAGGTCTGTTGCTGGCGGTGGAACCCGAACCCGTAGACGACATCGCTCCCGATCCCGAGACCCCTCCACGATTCTTCATGCAGGAGGACTCCTCGTGCTTGTACAGGTAGGACTTTAAGGCAAAAGCTTTGCCGCATCGGGCACAAGTGTGTGGCTTGGTGTTCGAGTGCGTCTGGATGTGGGCGCGTAGGTTGCTCTTGTCGGCGAAGGCCTTCTCGCAGACGCTGCACTTGAAGGGCTTCTCGCCGGTGTGGGTGCGTATGTGGCCCTGGAGGAGCCAGGGTCTCGAGAAGCACTTGCCGCAGAACTGGCACTCGCATCCCTGGTTGTGGGTGCGCACATGCATCGAATAGGCCGGCATCGAAACGTACACCTTCTCGCAGTAGGGACAATGGCGCGCCTTCTTGTCCATGATTGACCTGGTGGGGAGATGAAAATAAAATTATTTTCTAACCTTCTTCAAACACTAATACACACGGAATAAAAACATATACTTTTTGGAGTTGTAACTTCAAAACTCATATACTATTTTAATTGTTATAATACGTTTCAAAGTCTATAGAACAACAAATTAAGGGAAAAAAACACAAACATTTAGTCTTCGATTTTAATTGCTAGAGTATTCAAAAGTACTCATTAATAAAACCACACCATTTTTTTGTATGCATTAAGAGTTTACCCACCTGTGGGTTTGTCTATGGCGAGCCAGATTGGAGGATGTGGAATACTTCTTGCCGCACTCGGGACAGATGTGCTCGTCCTCCAGCAGCGAGGCGGAGTTGAGTAACTCGTCCTGCTCCGGATGATGGTGCTCCCTGGATAGCAGGCTGGATGTGAAGCTGGAACTGCTGCTGGTGCAGGAATTCGAGTCGGAGATGGTGCAGCGTCGCTTTCTGCGATCGAACACCTTGTGACTGTAGTAGTTGGTGTCGTCGTCCGAGGTGGCATATACAACAGGCATTGGCTTCGCCTCGTCCTCGGTGATCAGGGGACCCGCCGCCAATGTGACCTCCGCCAGCTGGGTGAGATTGTACAGCTCCTCGGGAATGGGCGTCGCCTGCTGGTCCTTCGTCATCGCGATGAAGAGATGGTGAAATGTCTGCAAGGCATTGGGGAATTTCTGTGATGAAAACAGCATGACTAGACGCGAAATGTTATTATGGCAACCTGCTAAATGCGCATTTGGTGCGTCATTACCTAGCTAAAATAGACCACAACATCGTCAAAGTTTAATATAAACCCCTAGATATATGGGAAATTCATAGTATTCAGGTAGCAGTTAGCCCCTGCTAAGCATTTGTAAAATATATACATTTTTATTAATTTATTTTGCACCTTAGTTTATATATTTTTGAATAGCAGGTTTAACTGCGAATATAACCACAAAATAATGAATGATTTCTAATATAGTTGTTCCATTTTAAGAGTTATAAAAAATGTTTATGTGCCGATTAACTCTCGTAAAAACAAATTGATTATTGTTTAGACCCTTATCACTCCGTATTTTTATTATTAATTATATTTAGTTTTAATTCGGCATCCTAAGTGCTTGAACAAATGTTTATGTGCCCAAAAACTAGTTTCAGCATAGACTCCATAAGCCAATTAAATGGTGTGAAAGACTAGTATCCTCATTATTTATAGGCTTTCAACACAATTTTTACAAATTAGTGGCTCATTATGTCTTTGAAAGTGCACGAAAATACACCAATAATCGAATTTTTCGGCATGAGAACCGAAGAATCCCCTTCGGAACGCAGCGCACATCCCCAGTGCAATCGCCGCCATCTATCATCCCACCTATCATAGATCTTTCCCTCCACTTGTGCTTACGCCATAATTCTTGTTTGTTTATTTGCAAATGCATCAATTTATAATTAAGGACAGAGTCGATAGGCCACACTCGGAGTCCGAGATGTGAGCCAAAGTCGTCTGCATCATCATCATTGCCGAATCAAGAATAGGAATTATCGCACGGGGTTGAGGGTTGAGCAGAGCCCACGGGGCGTATGATTAACGTCACTGCTACTACACGCTGCATTTTGCATTTTGATTCTGATTCTGATTCTGGCACTTGTTGGCTGTTCTGTGGTTCGTGGTGCTTCTCTTTTGCGTGGTCAAATAAATTTATGTCGAAATGAATGCGCTTAATTTGTTCATGTTGTCTTGGCATTGATTAATATCGCACGTAATTGGCTCAGCCGAAAATCAGGTGGGATTCGGTGCTGCTATATAGGTGTATTCCTTAACTAGTATAGTTTACTGTACTTAAAGCACACGGAGAGGAAAAGAGTTCTTTATATTAGTCATGGGTTGTGCTCAAGGCACTTAAAAAGAATTGCATTTTTAATAGTTAATAACTTTTAACCAATTTTGATTGAGACTAAAGTATTTCACTCTACATAAAATTAAGTTTTGTCTTAAAATAAAACCGAATTCTTCATTGGTTTTGGGGTTTTATTTTAACTTCACGACAAAAATACAAAATATTATCGAATTATATTCTGTTAAAATATTTATTTTACTAATTCTTACATTTCATTATTATTTATTGTGGTATAATTCATATAAAATTGTCAAGAACAAAAAAATGTCATTTAGATTTTGGAAACTTTATCTTAAATATACTTTGTAGTAATACAAAAACCAATTAATATTCTTTGTATTTCTAAATTACGTATGAACCTGTAAGTATTTTTCTGAGTGCATAGCCATCAATTTTTATATATCCCTCGCACTTGATCGTGTGTGTTTATCATGGGAAAGTTTTCTCCTTTATTTTGCTACCCCCAAAAAAATTGTCTAAATAATCGAACTCATTGAAGAATCTGGGGGAAATCCCCCTTTGAAGGGGGATTAAGATGGGTAGATCGGTGCGGTTTCTCCACTCTTGAGGAGGTCATGAGCAATAATGCGGCGGCTGTTTTGGTTTTGGTTTTGCTCTTGCTTTCGGTTTTGTTTGTTTCCCTAAGATTCTCTGTATTTCGCCTGAGGCCAGCAGCGAGTTTTTTTTTTATTTGGCTTTGGGGGGAAAATGTGGGTAAGAATTACCCCCCCCCCCCCACCAAATACCCTAGCCAAAACACATCTGCCATTCGCCCCCGCCAGCGGAATCGGCAACCTGTTGCGTCTTCTTAGCTGCCAATTCTCGTCTTTTTTCTCGGGCAGCAGTTCATCAAAATGTTTTTGCGGTAATTAAGCGGAATTTTCGCTGCTGCCAAGGTGGCCGAAAGGTGTTCGAAAGTGGTTTTCCATGAAGGAATTATAGTTGTATTCCCCCCTTTTGAGTGGGTGTGAGCAAAAAGCCGCCAGACATCCATAGCTTGTGTCTTGGCAATTTGCGGCCCATTTATTTATCTATACATATGTATATATATGTATATATGCCCCGCCACCACCTGAGGCCCTGTTCCCAGGTGGTTGCCGTATACATTTAAATATAGCACTCAAATGAATGCCATTTTCTACCTAATCACGTCATTTCAATACCCGATTTCCATCGAACACGAAATACTCAAAAAGTCTCTGAAGAACAATAATAATATACGTCTGAGAATTCGCCGGGGAAAAAGCAAACAGCTGACAAGTGATCAGTGGACCTCCTCCATCCTGCCATTTCTATATCCCCCACATATGCCTCATGTCCATTCCCCCCCCACATGTTTTTGTACCTCCCCCCAAAAATAAATGTCTGTGCCATATTTCCGATGTCAGAATCGCTTGGGGCATACGAAATGTCGCATGTTTCTGTGACAGGTCGTTAATTAATTATTCCGCGGCCCGTGCGATTGCAGATCGGTAATCGCAGATGACAGGACAGGAAGAAGGTGGCTAGGGATCGCCGATATATGCTTCGCATTCGAAGTCTAATTAAAAACATTGGTGTCCCTTCTAAGAACTTCTTACAGAGCGAACAAATTGCTGGAGAAGTAAAAACACATTGGATAGAGCTATAGTTTTAAATAATGTCTTAATTATCTTTAACATTTAATTTCACGTGACATATGAAACATCATTTTACCATACTACTATTATATTATATCATTAACATACCTACACTAATTTTATAAATGCAGAGGGATTTTGTTATTAATTTGTTTAATTATTTAATATTTCTGTACTATTTAACTAATATTTTAATATAAAAAGGGATCAAGGGATCTGATTTTTTGTTGAGTGTATCTTTGAGGCTGGAAAGTATTATAAATGCATTAAAGTTTTTAATTTGTATTGGAAAATAACCATTTGGTATTATTTAAATTCACAAAACATCCTTTTTTTTCAGTGTATTTAAGCTGCTTAGACTCCCACCAACTGTATGATTCATCTTAGTGCCCCCAGCCGAATCTTGGGCATTCCATGGGCCGAACAATGGACCACGGACTGGGTAAAATATTTAACTCAACTTCGCATGGCATTTTTAATTCTGCGCATCTCTGGCCGTATAAAATCCGTATTTCTGGACCGGACCGGGGAAAGAGTTCAAAGTCCTATTAATGTACACAGAAAGCAAAAGGCCAAGCGAAATGCTGATGGCCAACAGAGGTGGCTTCGGTGGCCTTAACATGCGTCTGTCTTTCGCCCCCGGGCATCTATAAATATAGTACCATTGATCCCTTGCATAGTTTACATTTTAGTTCAAACTTGAAAACGCAACGCGAATGCACAATAAACAACAATATTCTGAAGCGCCAGCCTCAACCTCTGGTTATTTCCCAGTTTTCCCACTTTTCCCGGTCCAGAGTCAATGCCATACACCACATGAACCACACACACATATACACTGGCAAAAAAACGTAGAAAGTCTTAATATTTCGTACTCAATTAAAATAATTTTCGATTTGATTTTTAAACTTGACTATTTTCGAAACTGATTTTAGTATCTCAAAAATAAATTTAAGTTTAAACCTTATCAATAACAACTATTTTAAATCTAATACTTTCCACATGTATTACAATATTGTTTTATTAAATTCTGCCATTTAATGTGCATGGATTTAATGTTATGATTTTACATTTAGTTTTATATTGAACATAAAGTATTGAATTCAATAGGCAGATGTTAATTTGTACTACTCAGTTTTTTTTATCAGTGTACAACCCCCACTGCGCTTCGATTGAAATGTTTGGATTTGGGAATCCGTTTTTGTTTACCCCAGAACGCAGGCCCTCATCAATCGTTGCCTCAACTGCAGTTCCCGACGGTTTTTGTTTACGGACATTTGTTTAAACATTTGGACGGGAAAAGGACACAAAGGAGCAGGTCTCACTTGTAAATCACGGCAGATAATTAGCCCCCCAGATTGATCTTGCATATATATCTGTTATTTTATGCCCACAAATTGGCATGAGGATCTACGCATTTACCACCGCCAGACAATGGCTATATCCATATGTTCATACATATATATATATATAGATGGTCACACGGAAAGATACAGATACTATACATATTCCCGGCCACTATTTCCCGTTCTCAGAAGCTCATTGCCAATGCAAACATTGCTCACGTAAATGTCAAAATATCAAAAGAAATAATAATATTAATTTAACAAGTGCAGGGGGTCTGAGCAATTGGGGATCGGAAAACGCCGCTCATTTGCAGTCACGCGAATCTTTTGGCCCAATTTGCCAAAGCCAAAGCAGATTTTCGATCTTGTTTCGGTTCCTGGGCAAATATGTAGTTATGCATGCTTAAAGGTGTGTGTTCTATTGTGTAATCGGAAAGGTGGGAAAATGGAAAATGGAAAACGGAAAAATTAGCCCCCCCACATTTCACTTTCCTTCACCTTTCATTCACTTTTTTTCGCCAACTCACCCCACGCAGCTTGAATAGTTTTGGGTGCTATCTCGTATATAGACGGATGATTCAGTTGCCGATGAGAAATCAATAATATATCACACACACAGAGAATGGCTTTCACGAATGTTCACCACCCGCCAAGAGTTCGCATATGGCTTTGCTGATTTTTCGGGGGATCGGTAATGATAATGATCCTCGTTAATTGTCAAAAAACCGATTAATTAGTCGCACGGACGGATTTCGCATCCGTAAAGGCGAGCGCACGCACCGAGATCCCAGGAAGAACTGAGCGTTCTTCGCCAGACCACTTACAGTTTTTACATCTTGCGGCCGCCGCTGCCGATTCCACCGATTCCGCCGATTCGATTCGATTATTTTGTGCTCAATTTAAATATTTTTCGCTTTGACTTTCATCCATTGCAGTTTTTAGTTATTTTAATTATGAAAATATTACAATTTCAAATTTCAATTTCAAAATTCAAATCAAATATTTTGCACATTAAATTTTAAAATATTTAAATATTATACCTTATAATTAAATATTATGATTTCATATTTAATTTTTAATTTATATATACAATTTTGAATTCAATAGCCATATATTTGTTATAACTATTCAATTTTCTTAAAAGTTGAAATGTCCTGTTGGTAACCATCGTTTCTCTTAGTGTACATCCGCATCCACGTCGAGGAGGTGACGAAGCTGACACGGAGGCATTTAAGGAGGCGGAGGAGGAGGTCGGCGTGGACGTGGACGACAGCCAGCAGCTGTTGGCCGCTCTTCGCGTAGATCGTATCGTATCGTACGATAAGAACCATATCGTATCGAAATCGAACATAACTCCGAGAACGAACCACGTACAACGCCGGCAGTGACGCCGACTGCGACGCCGACTGAGGCAGCGACGGAACAAGTGTGTGCGGTTTAAAAATAAATCGAAAATAATGTTTTCATTATGCCACCGCTCTCTGAGCTCTCTCCCCCACTCTTTTTTCTGCCTGCACTGCCTGCATTTTCCGAAAGGGAAAACTCTTCTCGAGGTGGCGATGCTCCTGCTGGCAGGACCACTGCGCAGAATTCTTCTAACGATCCGCAGTCAGTGTCAAAAACCTCACTTACTCGGCGCAAAACAGAGGGGGGCAACATAATAGGAACATATTTTCAATAATATACAGGAAATATTTTTTTTTTTTGAGCACTGGCACTAAGATTTCGAAGCTGTATTTATTTTTACAAAAATTTAATTATTTTTATTACATTTCTGTTCATCCCGAATGTTACAAAATACTGTATTCAAATCATGGCGATTTTAAGCAACCTACCGATTTAAATCGTTTTAAAATTTACAATTTTTCAGATATTGCTATAGATTGCTATTTTTGTGACCTTAGCTGTAGGAATTTGCCCCATGTGTCAGTGTGTTTTTTCGCCTGCCCCATGCTGATTTGCCTAGAAAGAGAGATTCTCTCGCTTCGTGGTTGGGCAGTTTCTTCTGTAGCCGGCGGTTCCCCCGTCTTGCTCTTTTTCTTCGGGCTCGGATTCTTCCCCTGCTGATTCTTCCCCTGCCAAATCTTCCTCTTCTTGGAGAGTGACGCAGTCGCATGCAATTTGGCATTTTCCTCGCATTTTCCTTGCTGGCGTACTTGTTGCGGCCATCCAAAATAGACTCTCGCTCACCTGTAACACCCATCTCCTCCCAGAATTTTCCACTCTTTCTCTCGTTTTCCTTTGGCCTTTGAAAGCCCCCGAAACGGATTTCTCGCAGGTGTTGTCGTCGCCTCTCGCGCACTTTTCATTTTCCACTTTTCAGGCGTAATGAACTTAATGTCGCCCCTTTTGGGATGTTTTTTCTTCAAAATATATTGGGTGCTAACGTAATGTATTTTCTATACATATATAGTCGATATGATTTATGCCGAGCGGCGGTCTGTTGGTTCTGGTTCGAATTGGTTTTTGATGTTTCCCAAAAGATCTTTATTGTAATGGGCTTATTTATAGGGCCACCCCTTCACCAACTAATCTGTTTGGTGCTTCGCTGTCTCCGTCTTTATTCTTCGATTTTTCGCACTTCTTCTCGCATTTTCACACTCTACAACTTGCAGTGCGTGGGCTGCACCGAAGACAAAGAAAATTCTTTTGCGGAGGCCGACGGAAAAGTGGTGGAAATGGCGGGTAGATGGGCTTTGTCTGGCGCCAACATGGAAATGCAATTTGAGTGGTAAGGTCAGGATGGGCCATAGCCATGCATCACCATCACGATCACGGCGGAGCTTTGGACCCGGGAAAGGCCTTCCGCCGAGTGTGACATGTGCTAAAGACATCTTGTGTCGACTTTAATCACGGCAATTAATAAGAGAAGAAAGGAGCAACAAAGGAAGTGTCGCCCAACTTATAGCCCAGCAAATCGCCGTGGATCAGCCCGGATTATTGGGTGTAGTGTGCGGTGTAGTGTGTGATGTGTGGTGTATCATACCCCATGCCAGCGATTCTGGAAGTCGTCGTCGTCGCGACTGGCGGCCATAAATCTATTTTCGTCCTGGTTCCAGCCGTAGTCGTAGCCCCCCTCCTTTGGAACTCCTCTGTAACCCAGACCCTCGGTGATCGGTAGTCTTTGCTCACTTGCTGCGCAATTGCGTGGTCCAATCTCCTTTCCCAACTCTACACTGAAAGAAAATATTTAAAGGAATTGGCCTTCGACCAAAGAAATAAATGTCCTTTAACAAGAAGTTCCTATACGGCAGTTCCTTTCCAAGAGAATATTTTATAGTCTATTATAATAAATGTTTGTGTTACATTATATTATGCTGACATGCTAAATAAATTAGTGTTTCTCCTGTAATTTAAGGCCACTTATTTTCTCCCAGTGCATGACAGTTTGTTAAGTGCCCCTGGATCTTTATTTTTAACTGCTCCCGTCAAGATCGGGTGGTTCGTTTCTTATTCTCTGCGTAGGTAAAATGCAAGGGGTAGTACTTGAATACTGTGCTATGTGTTATGTGGCCACCGCCTCGTCCGAATTGAATCTGCAAGTGAATCGAATTCACATCCGCAAATTCCAGACAGCCGGAGGGTGTCCAATTATTTACGCAGATAAATAAGCGGAATCCGTCTTAATGCGAAATTCAACAATAAGAATGTAAGGAAAGCAAAGAAAGCGGGAAAAACAAAAACGCTTTTCTCCGCCTTTTTTTTGGGAAATAAATTGCCTATGATGTGGTTAAGTAAATTATCCCCTAATCGCTGTGATGGATCGGAATCAGATATATGTGCCTCCTCCAATCTCGAGTGGCTCCATAATTTATGTGAAGTAGGGCGACTTCAGCACCCAATTTTTAGCCCTGGTTGCATCCTGTTTACAGGAATTCCCCGGGAAACTCAAGGGTTCCAATGGCATGGATGTGTATAGTATATGGATGGATAGAAGGGATAGAGGGGAACCTGAAAGTCAAGCGGCCGGATATGTGAGTAATTCCTGAAGTTTTGGATCGTGCCGTTCCGTTGCGAGATCATAAAGTTCTATTTATACCATCAAGGGGAGAGAAGTTCAAACTCCGAGTCCCGATCTCCGAGAACTTTCCAAGTGCAAGTGGAGCGATTCCGTAGGTGGCTGCCACTTTGCAAGGCCCATACACAGAAAAAAAATTGATAAAAAATTATACCTGTTTTTTATCAAATTTGGGGTATTTTATGATAAAATATAGAGGCCTTATATTATACAATGGTTCAATTTATACGTGTTTGTTGACCTCATACTTTATTGATACTGGCAACATTTTTATTTTCTGTGTAGAAATAGGTTGGAGCGGTTGGCATGTGCCGCCACTTGAATCAGTGGCTGTTTATCGAGGATTGGGGGAGGCATTGGGGGATGGGATGGAATAGGATGGAATTGCTACCGAGTGCCATGTGCAATGGCAGCCAAACATCAACCGTGTCAAAATTCAAAGAAACAAAAGCGGAAATGTTTTTGTTTTCCTTATTTTTAACAGCCGCCACATGAGGAAAACTAAAACAGCCGAGTGGTAATGGAAAGCTGATTTGGTCAATGAACTTTTCCCCCCGTCTATAATTATAATTGGCCCAGCCAGCGGAATTGAGTTATTAACCTGGAGCAAATTATAAAAGTTTTGAGAGTTAAATTTTGGTGAAAAGCTTGACTTCGACTGCATTTTATTAACCATATTCTACCAACATTATAAATTATCTTTCATTTAAAATAAAATGAAGACAAATTCCTATAATTCCTATAATGTGAACAAAAAAAGTAAAACTATTTTTGTACAAATTATACAAAGCTAGGGAGAATTATGTTATTTAAAGGAAGGAGTTTTTATATCTTTTATCAAATATAAATAATATTTCATATATTGCTGTGCCACATATGTAAAACGATGTTTTATTTTGGCAAGCTACCAACAATTTTAATAAAACACAATTTATTCATATTTTATTATTTTAGTATTTTTGATTATAAAAGAAATTTAAAAAAAAACTTCAGGTCTAGTTGTTTTTTATTTGTAATGAAACAAATAGTCTCTCATGCTTAAGCAGGGCTTTTAATTTTAATCATTGCTATTTAAACAGCTTAATAAATTCCAAATAAACGTTTAATCTTAACATTTTAAGAGCAATTGTTAAATTGCTTTTTTTGCCAATACAATGAGCAACCTGCATTCGCAGAAGTTTATGGTTTAACAGTAAACATGGTGCGTTTAAGTTTTGTGCAATTTTTAAAAAAATATTTAAATAGTTGTATTTGAAAATTTGAATTTAGCTCATACTTTTACCTTTTCGGGACGATCGCTGTTAAACTATCAAAGACATCAACCTTTTCTGGCTTGTGGTATATTTCGTTGGTATTTTGACGATATCGGTGCTCTGGCCACACTGATGCCAAGAACAAGCAAAACTGGTGAAAACTGTTGCGGACTGTCGCGAAAAACCGCTGAAAAACCCCAGAAAACAGAAGAAATAGAAGAAACACGTTATTGAAATATGCAACACTAGAGTGGGCAATCGGGAATTACTGAAAAAATCAACGCGGAGCGCTCGAGGAACAGCAGCCAGCAATCATGGCACCCACCCCCTTGCCCCTTCCGCTGCCCCTCGAACAAATGCCCGGCGTCGGCGGCGGAGGAGGCGGCTATTTGCCCGCTGGCCAGGTGAGTTACGCCCTCCTCACGCCATCCAAATATATATGTCCCTTGGATATATAATAAACTTCACTCAATTTCAGGAGGGCGGCCCACGGATCAACACGATGTCCA